CCGTAGTGGACTTACCTGGCACAGGAGCGGGGCAAGTAGCACGGGCTATGGTGAGCCCGTAGTGGACTTACCTGGCACAGGAGCGGGGCAAGTAGCAGGGGCTATGGTGAGCCCGTAACTTACCTGGCACAGGAGCGGGGCAAGTAGCACCGTGGCAGATCCTTTAATAAGTAATGGCTGGGAGTGCAAGGGTCAGGCAGGCCGTGGGGTAGGGGGCCTAGGAGGAGGTAACCTGCTCTGCCCTGGCCCAAGACACAGTAGGTCAGGCCATGAGCTAGAGTAATGGAGGTCTTGCCCTCAGGAAAATGTCACAAGCCTTCAGCAGTGTAACAGTGCCAACTACTGTACAAATGACTGACATTCAACACGTGACCAATCAATATGGCTGGATGGTTACACCGGTACCAAATGTATGTATAGCCATGTGACAACACCATAGGTACACTAACACACATGTTGGCCGCGGGGGATACTTTGTATGCCAGGGACATTACCCGTCACATTTTGACAGTGACGAGAGGTAGAAAGTAGTAGAGTGGACTCATGACACTGTGGTGTGATGAGTGCAGGGAGGGGGAGTGTACGGACCCCAGCACAGCGGGGGGAGGGGGAGTGTACGGACCCCAGCACAGCGGGGGGAGGGGGAGTGTACGGACCCCAGCACAGCGGGGGGAGGGGGAGTGTACGGACCCCAGCACAGCGGGGGGAGGGGGAGTGTACGGACCCCAGCACAGCGGGGGGAGGGGGAGTGTACGGACCCCAGCACAGCGGGGCTGAGCACTCACAGTCGACTCCTCCAGTTGGAAGAGTTCTCAGCCTAACTTATATCAATGATGCTAAATTCTTGGGGCTGACACCTTATATATCGTTGTTAAACAGTTGGGACGTGTTCAGGAATCTGGTGGTCACTAGAGGGGCCAGCCTTACGGGTATACTAATATGTGACAGTAATGTATTCTTGGAAAACAGTTCTCGTGATTTTGAGGGGTATGTTGGGAGTGTATGTTTTCGTGATTTTGAGGGGTATATTGGGTATGTTGGGAGTGTATGTTTTCGTGATTTTGAGGGGTATATTGGGTATGTTGGGAGTGTATGTTTTCGTGATTTTGAGGGGTATATTGGGTATGTTGGGAGTGTATGTTTTCGTGATTTTGAGGGGTATATTGGGTATGTTGGGAGTGTATGTTTTCGTGATTTTGAGGGGTATATTGGGTATGTTAGGGGTTGTATGTTCTCGTGATTTTGACGGGTATATTGGGTATGTTAGGGGTTGTATGTTCTCGTGATTTTGAGGGGTATATTGGGAGTGTATGTTCTCGTGATTTTGAGTGTTAGCTGTATAGCGTATAGACTGTAGGCTTGAGTGCCAATACCATCGTCTTGAGGTTATCTTGAGATGATTTCGGGGCTTAGCGTCCCTGCGACCCGGTCCTCGACCAGGTCTCCTTTTTGTTACACATCCCCAGGATGCAGCCCGTAGCAGCTGTCTAACTCGCAGGTACCTATTTACTGCTAGGTTAACAGGGGCATCAGGGTGAAACAAACATTTTGTCCATTTGTCTCCGCCTCCGCCGGGGATCGAACCCGGAACCTCAGGAATACGAATCCGAAGCGCTGTCCACTCAGCTGCCAGGCGTCCCTACCATAAGGTAATATAGAGGAGCATTTAGAGCAAGTGACCTGGAATGTGGAGCAGTTGGTGGCTGGTAATGTTGCCACACACCTGTCTGAAGTGCATTTGGATTTGACATTTAATTCCAGGTGTCTCGGGGACAGGAAGCCTGTACTTAGGCCTCCTCCCCCCCCCCCTCCAAGGCCGACTACTAACGTTGTACAGGATGCAACCCACAACAGGTGACGTGCTCCACGATGCACATCTGCTAGCTGAACAGAGGCTTTACGTAAAAATGAAATGTGCCCAATCGTTTCTGTCTTGCCCGGGGATCGAACTCGGGTCTCGCAAGTTGTGAACTGAGGATGTAGCCTACTCTGCTACAGTACCCATTTGTGAACTTACCTCTACTGCTAGTTGTGTGTGTACTCACCTAGTTGTGCTTGCATGGGGGGGAGGGGGGTGGAACTTTGGCTCTTTGGTCCCGCCTCTCAACTGTCAATCAACTGGTGTACAGATTCTGGAGCCTATCGGACTCTATCAATATACATTTGAAACTGTGTATGGAGTCTGCCTCCACCACATTATTTTTTTAAGCTACTGTTAGCTACTCCGACACTGAAAAAATCTTTCTGGTGTCTCTGTGGCTCATTTGGGTAGTAAGTTCCCACCTGTGTCCCCTTGTTCGTGTTCCTACCACGCTAAATACTTTCTTTATCCACACTTTCAGTTCCCCTGACAATTTTGTAGGTGGTTATCATGTCTCCCCTAACTCTTCTGTCTTCCAGGGACGTGAGGTTTAGCTCCCGTAGCCTTTCCGCATAGCTCATACCTCTCAGTTCCGGGACGAGCCTGGTGGCATACCTCTGAATCTTCTCTAACTTTGTCTTGTGTTTAACTAGGTATTTACTCCATCCTGGAGCTGCATATTCCAGGATTGGTCTGACATAAGTGATATACAATGTTCTGAATGATTCCTTACACAAGTTTCTAAAGGCATTTCTGATGTTGGCCAGTCTAGCATATGCCACTGAAACCTTTAGAAACCTTTTGATGTGGGCCTCTGGGGACAGGTTCGGTGTGATATCAACCCCCAGCTCTTTCTCTCTATTTGACTCTTGCAGGATTTCACCTCCCAGATGGTACCATGTGTTCAGCCTCCTGCTCCCTTCGCTTAATTTCATTACTTTACACTTTCCTGAATGAAACATTAGCAGCCATTTTCTAGACCATTCTACCAGTTTGTCCAGGTCGTCCTGTAGTCTCTGTATCTTTATCTGTCTTGATTCTTCTCATAATTTTTGCATCATCAGCAAACATTGAGAGGGATGAATCTATACCCTCTGGGAGATCGTTTATATATATCAGAAACAGGATGGGTCCAAGTACAGAGCCCTGTGGGACTCCGCTGGTGACATCTCGCCACTCTGATGTTTCCCCCCTCGAAGTTACTAACTGCTGCTGTTCTAGAATCAGCTACTGGGAACAAAAAGTTGCAAGTAGCACGGGCTATGGTGAGCCCGTAGTGGACTTACCTGGCACAGGAACGGGGCTGTAACTGGTCCGTTACTCGCTGATTGATTAATGAAGATTAAAGCACCCAAGAGGTGGCACGGGCATGAATAGCCCGTAAGTTACTCGCTGTTTCCTGTTGCTGAGATACTCCCTTATCCACTGGAGCACCTTACCTTTTACTCCTGCCTGTTGCTCCAACTTTTGTAATAGCCTTTTGTGGGGGTACTGTGTCAAAGGCTTTCTAACAGTCCAAGACAATGCAGTCTGCCCTCCCTTCTCTTTAAAACCTAATTTTTATCACCTGATCATAGAATGCTGAGTTAAGCCTGTGAGGCACGATTTACCATCTCTGAACCCATGTTGGTGGTGTGTTACAAAGCTGTTTCCCTCCAGGTGCTCTACGAGCCTTTTCCTCACGATCTTCTCCATCACCTTACATGGTATACAAGTTAAGGAAACTGGCCTGTAGTTCAGTGCCTCTTACCTGTCACCCTTTTTGTATATTGGAACTACATTAGCCGTCGTCCAACTTTCCCTGCGTGGGCCTGCGGGCCGCTCCAAGCAACAGCCTGATGGACCAAAGTCTCACAAGTCGAGCCTGGCCTCGGGCCGGGCTTGGACAGTAGAACTCCTCTCAGAATCCCATCAAGCACATATCAAGCAAGCTTCCTGGTGTCCAGTGACCTGTTATACATCATAGAGAGTGGCACACTTCGTGCTTCTGCACCTTCCTTTAGTATCCACGGTGAGATTCTGTCATGCCCAACAGCCTTTGTCACATTCAGCTCCAATAGATTCCTTTTGCCCTCAACTCTAGCGAGCTCAAATTCCTCCAAGGTTGCTTGGTTTGCCGCCGCCTCTCTCAGTACCGGGGCCTCTCCTTACTTATTGTGAAGACCTCCTGGAATGTCTTGTTGAGTTCCTCACACACATTCTTGTCATTCTCTGTGTATCTGTCCTCCCATTTTGTCCCCCCTATGTGTGTGTTTCACCTAGTTGTGCTTGCGGGGGTTGAGCTTTGGCTCTTTGGTCCCGCCTCTCAACTGTCAATCAACTGGTGTACAGGTTCCTGAGCCTACTGGGCTCTATCATATCTACACTTGAAACTGTGTATGGAGTCAGCCTCCACCACATCACCTCCTAATGCATTCCATTTGTCAACCACTCTGACGCTTAAAAAGTTCTTTCTAATATCTCTGTGGCTCATTTGGGCACTCAGTTTCCACCTGTGTCCCCTAGTGCGTGTGCCCCTTGTGTTAAATAGCCTGTCTTTATCTACCCTATCAATTCCCTTCAGAATCTTGAATGTGGTGATCATGTCCCCTTTAACTCTTCTTTCTCCCAACGAATGTGTGTGTGCGCGTGTGTGTGTGTATATATGTGTATGTATGTATGTATGTATGAATGTATCAGTCATGCCCTTAACTACCCATCTTCTCAATACTAGGTCGCGTTTTTTACGTTCTGGTAACTAGTATTACAAACACAACTTTGCTATGAACAGTAACGCCTCGCAAATATCTACGTTTTCTATGCATCGGACTCGACGGGTTAGGCGGGCTGTTTGGGCTCGTTCGTTCCTGGTTAGGTTAGAAGGTTGGATTTTTTACGGAGTGACATCACGGGCTGCTCGGCCAACTGACGTCGAGCCTGACGTCATGGCCCTGGCTGACTGTCAGTGTGACGTCACCGTCGCTCGAGACAGGACATCTGACATGACGTTACGTCATAGGTGGGTGGCGTGACGTCATTACTGGGTGGCGTGACGTCATAGCTTGGCGTGACGTCATAGCTTGGTGGCGTGACGTCATAGGACCTTGTGACGTCAGTGTTAACCTGAGAATGACTAAGCAAAATATTTCTTTGTTTACAGGCTGGCGGCGGGTGACTGTGATGCCCTTGTTGCTCGGAGATGAAAGGCGGTCTGCGACACCCGGTAAGTCAACCCGCAGACTGCTGTAGCCTCTAGTACTGACCCCGCAGACTGCTGTAGCCACTAGTACTGACCCCGCAGACTGCTGTAGCCTCTAGTACTGACCCCGCAGACTGCTGTAGCCTCTAGTACTGACCCCGCAGACTGCTGTAGCCTCTAGTACTGACCCCGCAGACTGCTGTAGCCTCTAAGTACTGACCCCCGCAGACTGCTGTAGCCTCTACTGCCCCGCAGACTGTAGCCACTAGTAGCCTCTGTAGCCTACTGACCCCGCAGACTGCTGTAGCCTCTAGTACTGACCCCGCAGACTGCTGTAGCCTCTAGTACTGACCCCGCAGACTGCTGTAGCCTCTAGTACTGACCCGCAGACTGCTGTAGCCTCCAGTACGAACCCCGCAGACTGCTGTAGCCTCTAGTACTGACCCCGCAGACTGCTGTAGCCTCTAGTACTGACCCCGCAGACTGCTGTAGCCACTAGTACTGACCCCGCAGACTGCTGTAGCCACTAGTATTGACCCCGCAGACTGCTGTAGCCTCTAGTACTGACCCGCGGACTGTTGTAGCCTCTAGTACTGACCCGCAGACTGCTGTAGCCTCTAGTACTGACCCCGCAGACTGCTGTAGCTTCCAGTACTGACCCCGCAGACTGCTGTAGCCTCCAGTACGAACCCCGCAGACTCCTGTAGCCTCTAGTACTGACCCCGCAGACTGCTGTAGCCTCTAGTACTGACCCCGCAGACTCCTGTAGCCTCTAGTACTGACCCCGCAGACTGCTGTAGCCTCTAGTACTGACCCGCGGACTGTTGTAGCCTCTAGTACTGACCCGCAGACTGCTGTAGCCTCCAGTACTGACCCGCAGACTGCTGTAGCCTCCAGTACTGACCCCGCAGACTGCTGTAGCCTCCAGTACGAACCCCGCAGACTCCTGTAGCCTCTAGTACTGACCCCGCAGACTGCTGTAGCCTCTAGTACTGACCCCGCAGACTCCTGTAGCCTCTAGTACTGACCCCGCAGACTGCTGTAGCATCTAGTACTGACCCCGCAGACTGCTGTAGCCTCCAGTACGAACCCCGCAGACTCCTGTAGCCTCTAGTACTGACCCCGCAGACTCCTGTAGCCTCTAGTACTGACCCCGCAGACTCCTGTAGCCTCTAGCACTGACCCCGCAGACTGCTGTAGCATCTAGTACTGACCCCGCAGACTGCTGTAGCATCTAGTACTGACCCCGCAGACTGCTGTAGCATCTAGTACTGACCCCGCAGACTGCTGTAGCATCTAGTACTGACCCGCAGACTGCTGTAGCATCTAGTACTGACCCGCAGACTGCTGTAGCCTCCAGTACTGACCCCGCAGACTGCTGTAGCCTCTAGTACTGACCCCGCAGACTGCTGTAGCCTCTAGTACTGACCCCGCAGACTGCTGTAGCATCTAGTACTGACCCGCAGACTGCTGTAGCATCTAGTACTGACCCGCAGACTGCTGTAGCATCTAGTACTGACCCGCAGACTGCTGTAGCATCTAGTACTGACCCGCAGACTGCTGTAGCATCTAGTACTGACCCGCAGACTGCTGTAGCATCTAGTACTGACCCCGCAGACTCCTGTAGCCTCTAGTACTGACCCCGCAGACTGCTGTAGCCACTAGTACTGACCCGCAGACTGCTGTAGCCTCTAGTACTGACCCGCAGACTGCTGTAGCCTCTAGTACTGACCCCGCAGACTGCTGTAGCCTCCAGTACTGACCCCGCAGACTGCTGTAGCCTCCAGTACTGACCCCGCAGACTGCTGTAGCCTCTAGTACTGACCCCGCAGACTGCTGTAGCCTCTAGTACTGACCCCGCAGACTGCTGTAGCCTCTAGTACTGACCCCGCAGACTGCTGTAGCCTCCAGTACTGACCCCGCAGACTGCTGTAGCCTCCAGTACTGACCCCGCAGACTGCTGTAGCCTCCAGTACTGACCCCGCAGACTGCTGTAGGCTCTAGTACTGACCCCGCAGACTGCTGTAGCCTCTAGTACTGACCCCGCAGACTGCTGTAGCCTCTAGTACTGACCCCGCAGACTGCTGTAGCCTCTAGTACTGACCCCGCAGACTGCTGTAGCCTCCAGTACTGACCCCGCAGACTGCTGTAGCCTCCAGTACTGACCCGCAGACTGCTGTAGCCTCTAGTACTGACCCCGCAGACTGCTGTAGCCTCTAGTACTGACCCCGCAGACTGCTGTAGCCTCTAGTACTGACCCCGCAGACTGCTGTAGCCTCCAGTACTGACCCCGCAGACTGCTGTAGCCTCCAGTACTGACCCCGCAGACTGCTGTAGCCTCCAGTACTGACCCCGCAGACTGCTGTAGCCTCCAGTACTGACCCGCAGACTGCTGTAGCCTCTAGTACTGACCCGCAGACTGCTGTAGCCTCTAGTACTGACCCCGCAGACTGCTGTAGCCTCTAGTACTGACCCGCAGACTGCTGTAGCCTCTAGTACTGACCCCGCAGACTGCTGTAGCCTCCAGTACTGACCCCGCAGACTGCTGTAGCCTCTAGTACTGACCCCGCAGACTGCTGTAGCCTCTAGTACTGACCCGCAGACTGCTGTAGCCTCCAGTACTGACCCCGCAGACTGCTGTAGCCTCCAGTACTGACCCCGCAGACTGCTGTAGCCTCCAGTACTGACCCCGCAGACTGCTGTAGGCTCTAGTACTGACCCCGCAGACTGCTGTAGCCTCTAGTACTGACCCCGCAGACTGCTGTAGCCTCCAGTACTGACCCGCAGACTGCTGTAGCCTCTAGTACTGACCCCGCAGACTGCTGTAGCCTCTAGTACGGCAAGTATCAGGAGCAAGCGCCAAGCCAGTAGGTTTATATAACACTTGGGAGAAATCATGATGAGGATTTGGGATGGGACGGGGGGAAGGAATGGTGTCCGCGTCACTTGGACGGTCGGGGATTGAACGCCGACCCGCATGAAGCGAGACCGTCGCTGTATGCAGGTCTCGAACTTTGACCTGCGTGAACTCGCTGCCCCCTCATTCGAGGGGAGGGGGGTTGCAGTTCCTGGGCCCCACCTCGTAGCTCTCGTGTGATACCAATTGATGTGAGTTTGGATGAAACTGAAAAAGTTAGAACTGAAAAACGTTTGCAATAATATATATTTTGTTCATTCAAATTGTTCCCTTAACATCAGTTTATGTTTAAAAGCATAAATGAAAAGTCATATTGGCCCACACGAGGCAGCTGGTGTTTATATATTAGTTGAAGACCAGCAGCTCCCTTCTCTGCTGCTACTCTGCTCTGGCAGTTATTATCTTGCTTGCCTGCCTGCCTGCCTGCCTGCCCGCCCGCCCGCCCGCCCGCCCGCCTGCCTGCCCGCCTGCCCGCCTGCCTGCCTGCCTGCCTGCCTGCCTGCCTGCCCGCCCGCCTGCCCGCCTGCCCGCCTGCCTGCCTGCCCGCCCGCCTGCCCGCCTGCCTGCCCCCCCGCCCCCCACCACAGTAGCGGAGGGCAGGAGGCCTTGACACTCACTGTATTATACATGTTAGAATAGTGTAATAATCCCTGACCTGGTGAGCCTTGTGTCGGCACTTAATGGTGGTATCCTGCCAGGCAGCGGCCCGGGGGATGCGCCTCTCTCTCTCCACTACCAGGAAATACAAGTTGTGTTAAAGTGAACATACCTAGAGCCTGAGGGAACACCTTTACTGGTACACAACACACAAGTCTCCACTTCCAGCAACACACACACACACACACACACACACACACACACACACACACACACACACACACACACACACACACACACACACACACACACACACACACACACACACACACACCGCCCTCCATCGAGACCTCAATATATATTCAGTCTGTATTGAATATATATGTCTCAATATAGCAACACTTCAAGTTGGGACTTGTATTCCCTGCAACCTCTCCTCCCAGGCCATCTTCTCTGGGCGTGTGCACTCCTTTGTGTGTGTGTGTGTGTGTGTGTGTGTGTGTGTGTGTGTGTGTGTGTGTGTGTGTGTGAGTGTGAGTGTGAGTGTGAGGGGGGGGGTGAGTGTTAAGGCACCCCCGCCCGTCTTGTGAGTGAGGAAGAGGTTGCTGAAGGACTGGAGGAGGTGGTGTGAGGTGAGGACAGTGAGCGTCCGCTCCTCAAGACAGAGGAACTGCTCAATCAGGAGCTTCCGTTGTAGCCAGGTAATTGCTTCTCCGGGGGGGGGGGGGGAGGAGGCGAGGAATGAGGGCAGGAGATAGTAGACGAGGCAGCCAGAGATAAGACAGGCGGCTTGAGACACCTTCACGACAGGCAGGGAAGTGAGTTCTTTCAAGAATTACCGGCGAGGAACACGTTAAACTTTCGCTACCTTACCTTGCGTTCATTCCCAGGATCACGGTCACCGCGGCCCGGTCTCTGACCAGGCCTCCTGTTTGGTGGTCTGGTCAACCAGACTGTGGGGCTCCGCCGCTCGCTGTCAGACGCAGTCTTCCCCACCACCCACTTGAGCCACAAACTGATATACTAAAAATGGTAGCGGCTCTGTGCCCGGGGCCTGGCCGTCACGGCACCAGAGGCGTTATGTACTAGTCAATTAGTTCTATCTAAAGAGAAAGTTAGCGAGTTGACCCCTGCTTGACCTGGCCCCGGTGTGGCGGGTAGGGCAGAGGTCATGAGGCTGGGCTCTGCCAGGTGTGGGGCTGGGCTCTGCCAGGTGTGGGGCTGGGCTCTGCCAGGTGTGGGGCTGTGCTCTGCCAGGTGTGAGGCTGGGCTCTGCCAGGTGTGGGGCTGGGCTCTGCCAGGTGTGAGGCTGGGCTCTGCCAGGTGTGGGGCTGGGCTCTGCCAGGTGTGAGGCTGGGCTCTGCCAGGTGTGAGGCTGGGCTCTGCCAGGTGTGAGGCTGGGCTCTGCCAGGTGTAAGGCTGGGCTCTGCCAGGTGTGAGGCTGGGCTCTGCCAGGTGTGGGGCTGGGCTCTGCCAGGTGTGAGGCTGGGCTCTGCCAGGTGTGGGGCTG